CATATACTCAGTCTTATCTGCATGCAAGTTTCTTCAAAAAATCTAAATTTTAGGTACTACTGCATAGTTCAAGAAAATGGAAACTCCAATTGCTTTATGATTTTTGACAGACAATAGCAATTTTCCACTAAAACCGGGCGCCTTTTTATACTGAAATTGCTTATGAGCTAACGCAGCAATTCTATTGTACGCGGTAAAAGCTAACTGTTATTTGGTAGCCTCCGGCTTAGCAAGCAGTGCCACTAACTCACTTGCAACCGGCTGCAATCTCACGCATACAAATACCACATCGCACCTTGCAACATGCCGACGACAGACATCAATTTCCATTTGCATTTCCGTGCTATCAAAATTTCATCAGCCACCAACAATCGGCAATCAAGGCTAGACACACATACACACACCATTCACAAATATGCACAATGCTCGGCATACAATTCTTTTTTGTGATTCCTTGCAGATAAACCAATCTGGCGATACAGCCAACACATACCGGTGCAGTATGTTTACCCGAACGGAAGTGTGACTATAGCGTGCGAGGCAATCGCTGAGCCGCCAGCCAATTTCACCTGGTACAAGAATGGCAGCAAGAAACGTTTGCATAACGACAAACACCACGCCATCGAGAAGGATTTTTATGCATCCACGCTGACGATTTATGCGCGCAACGATGACGTATTCGACACGTACCGCTGCCTGGCCGAAAATCAGTTAGGCGCCATTGAACGCAACACCGTACTGAAGAGAGGCGTCAAGCCACCACCACCCAGCGTACTCCAGTTGCGTGGCTTCAATTCGAACACATTCGATGTGGATGTTGGTTCGGTGCGTGTGTCGCCGGCGCGTACTGCTCCGTCAAAAACGGAACAATTGATGGAGGTGAACGGTTTTCGTATTGAATATATGACGGAGTATGAATTCAAGTCGGATGGTGGCAAATGGACGAATGGTAAACGCCGGGACTTCCCGTTCGAAGATGGTAAATACTATATAAAAGGGGGGTGAATGACTAAAATCCAATTTCTTGATCGACTGTACTGGCGTTTGGAACACGGTGCTTTTTCAGCTAACATTCTCTTACGCTGAATAAGTGCCAGAGGCCCTGAAAAGCTTGATATCGAATGAAAATTTTAGATTTAGAAAAGATAAAAATAAAAATGAAGAAAGTGAAAAATATTGATAACAAAAGAGTTGTAGATAAACATATGTATGTATGTATATATTTGTATATAGTTTCTAGAGATTGAAACCAAAAACAAATATACAAGTAGTAATGAAGATAGCGGCAAGCATGGTAGCGACAGAGATGGAGATAGTGTTGGAGATAAAGTTATAGTTAAAGCTAAAGATAACAATACAGATAGATATATAGTTGATAGAGATAGAGCTGGAGACAAAGATAGAGATATATAGTCATAAAGATAGAGGTAGGTATGTTAGAGAGGGATATGGAAACAGTGATAGCGCTACAACTACAAATAAAGATAGATATATGTAGAGTTGATAGAAATATAGGATATAGATAAATAGTTGGACTCACAAATAGAGTTAAAGCAGCGATAAAGCTGACTGATATATGGTAGCAACAGCAAACCAAATCTTACTATAATTTGCTCGTATGAATTGTTAGTTACACATATCTTGTGCTATTGTCAGCTTTTATGAATTCGCCTTCCACATAACGAAGCCTGTTGCTGTGCGTTCCATATGATGACCGACACTAATAAATTACCTTCCACCCAGTAACTTAGTAAATCAACTCTGCTTTGCATTTTTTTCCCTCCCAAATACAGGCGCAACTTTTCTCATCAACAATCTAGAAGCCAATACTACCTATTTGATGCGTGCCGCCACCAAAAACTTGGCCGGTCTCAGCGATTATACGAAAGTCGAGAAATTCCATACACTCTCCAATGAGCCGAAATCCTCGTCAACGCATCTCGAACACTTGAATGCCACACAGCTGCTGTGTATATCACTGGTGGCGTTGTTGTTGTGCAAGGAATTGTCTTTCGGCTTTCAACCTGTAAGCAGTATAACGAAGTTGCGTCGCGCTGTCGGTGTGCGTTGGTGAAGCAAATGTGGCGCAATAAATAATAGAGCAGTGAGTAAATACGCCAGCAGCAGCAGCAGCTTTCTATTCGGTGAAAGCGCGCAAAGAAAGTATGGGTATGGGTTTCAAGTTATATATACACATGACAATAGTTATTATGTGTAAAATGTTTGCTTAGAATTAAGAGTTAAAGGCTACGAAGATTATTTATATTTTACTTAGTTGAAACACACACACCAAATAATGGAAATATACAAAACGGAAGTCTTTTAATTAAATAAATTAATAAAAAAAAATATATATATACGCTGATGTTTACATAAACAAATTTTAATGCTTACGATAAAAACTTAATAACATGTATATTTACATAAATATTCCATTTGCATAGCATAAAAATAATACATAATACATGGCGAAATTTTTGAACTCTGCGCTTAGGTGTTAATCGGCTTAAAAAAAAAATCGTTGCCAGAATTTTATATTTATAATATAACTATAATAATATATACTCATATAAGCAAGCCAGTATTTTATGTATACGTTAATGCTTTACATTCGTTATACCTATAATTATAATTACTTATATATGCGTTTTTCATAACGACAATAGTCCATCGCAAATCTCACTCAGTTCCGTACTCACAAGTATCTCTTTTGTTTGCAAAATTCCTTTGAAAAAAAATTTTTTTTTTGTTTACTTTTAGATAATTTCGTTTTATTTTTGTAAAAATATTGCAATTTTTTATATTCTTTAATTTTACATTTCAGTATTCTTTTTACATATCATTAACAAGCTCGAATCATGTCTGTGAGCTTATTTAAGAAGCTTTATATACAATTTATTTTCATATAAAATTATTACAACTTTTTTTTACATTTTTATCTTTTAACACCATATCTGCAATTTTTTGTTAAAATCAGTGATTTTTCTTTTAATTTTGATAATTTTAAGCTTTTTATCATCCCAAAAGGGTTTAAATCAAGCGTAAATATAAGTTTTATACATAATAATGCCACTTCATTTAATCATGTCCATTATAAATTTAGCATAGTTCTTTACTAAAACAAAAAAAAAAGTTTCATTGTAGAATTGGGTTTCAATTTGAATATAAAAATGTTTTTTAATGAAGTGTGTTTGGAACGCTCTTAATATATGTATATGTGCCTTTCTTTTAATACCTATTTATTCTTGGAACAAAAATATGAAGATTTTGCATTTCGATTTCGCTCGATATCATATTCACTTAGCCATTATTAGCAAAATAGAATTGTTGCAGAAGCGGCAGATTTTGCAACTGAAATAAACAAAAACTAATTTATTATATAAAATAACTATATTTTGTACAGTGTTGTCTCGTTTTTTTTTTTTACTTCCTGCGGGAAATTGATTTTGTCGGTGTCACCATGACAAAGTTTAGACACATTAACATTACTGAAGCTCTTTTTTTAAGATGTGAGTTTTTATGTAAAATCAAAAAATAATTAGAAGAAAAATTTTAAACTCTATGTCCTTTTAATAAAATTAATGTAAAAACTTTGTTTTAAGCTTTATTCAAAAAGTTCAAAATTTTAAACAGAGAAATACTAAATTCTCCATACATACATAAATGTCAGAAGTTGCGTTCTAAAGGATGACTATAATAAGGTTTTAACGATCACTAAATGCATGTACATATACATACATACGTATATTTTGTATGTTTTATTTTTTTTTAACTTTTTTTTTTTAATTGAGATCATTTTAATTTTGTTTTTATTTAATTTTAATTTTTTCATAAATTCTCTTATATTTAGCTTTTAATTCTTTGTTTAATTTTAATTTTTAATATTAACTTTTTATTTTTTAGTTAACTTCTAGCTGTCTTTGATTTTAATTATTATTTATTTAATTAATTTTAATCTTGTTTGTTTCATTTTAATTTTTTTAATCAACTTTTAATTTTTTCTCTTTTCATTTTGATTATTATACGCTCGCAACTCGTTGCTACAGAGTATAATACAATAGTTTTGTGCACCTAACGGTTGTTTGTAAAACCTAAAACTAATCGAGTTAGATATAGGGTTATGTATGTGTAAATGATCAGAATGAAGAGACGAGTTGAAATCCGGGTGACTGTCTGTCCGTCCGTGAAGCTATAAAAACATATTCACTGGGAACAAATGCTTTTAGCATCTCTATCGACGGTGTGAAATTTTTTTATTTAACTTTAATTTTTTTATTTTTATTTAATTTTTTTTTATTTCATTTAATTTTTATTTGGTTTAATTTATTTATTTTTGTTATTATTTATTTAGATAATTTTAATTTGTTATTTTATTTTAATTTTTTGATTTAACTTTAAGTTTTTTTTTTTTAATATATTAATACATATATATTATATTCATTTTAAATACATTTTTTTTAATATATAAGTTTTTCATTTAACTTTTAGTTTTGTATTTAATTTTAATTTCTTATTTCTCCACTTAATTTTTATTTGTTTGTTTACTTTTAAATTTTTATTTGATTTTAATTTTTCTATTTAACTTAAGCTTTTAACTTTTTTAATATTGTTATTTTTTTACTTGAAAATTCTAATTTTTTTTAAAATTTTTTAAATATTTTTTAGTTATATGTTTTTATTTAATTAATTGTTTTTTATGTATATACTTTTTTTATTCAACTTTCAGTTTTTGACTTAATTTAAATTTTTAGTTTTTCTCTCTTTTGCTCACTTTTTTTTGACATTTTATAAATTTAATTTTTTATTTGATGTTCTTTACCTAATTTTAATTAATTTAATTTTTATTTATTTTTTAATTTAATTGAATTTTTTTATTTAACTTAAAAATTTTTAATTTTTTTAAAATATTTTTTCTATTTGATTTTATTTATTTGTATTTTTATATATGTATACTAAATTTTTTGAAATATGTTATTTTAATTAACCTTAATTTTTATTTTTCTTTTATCTTTGTTATTAAATTTTTATATGATGCTTCCCTTTTTTATTTAGTTTCTTTTTTTTTTTTATAAATTTTCAATAATGAATACAGCTTCCTGTTATGTATTCCGAACATTTATTTAATATTTACACACATCTATGTACGTACATAAATGAAAATCGAAAATTTCACAGATTTCATTTCCTGAAATGCCTCAAATATTGAAATTGTATTGAAAATATATGTATGTAAGTTTCTATGAATTCGGCTAAAGTAAATAAAGCAAAAATATAATTGAAATTAATATATTTATGTATGTACTGTGAATTTTGATAATAGAACAATTTATGACGAAAATAAATGAAAACAACAATAACAAATGTGCGTTGCAAATGCTTAAAGCAGCAAAATTTAGAGAAAACTCGAGTATAAAAATCATTATATTTTATGCTATAGAAATATTTACATAATAACGGTCTATGCATATAAACAGTTAACTTATAATTACATAACCAGATAAAAATGGGTACGATTGTAAAAGCTAATTGTACGCGCTAATTGTTGTTACGTGCCAAAATATATATGTGCTAAAGCTACATGCCAAATTATATAATAAAATTTAAAATAAAATACAATAACAAAAAACAATATCTCTATGTATAATATGTGAAAATTTGTACATTAGAAATATATTTTAAGCAAAATGGATATTTAAAAAAAAACTACATACATACAAACATATATAACTACATATAATTTTATTATTTGAGCGCTTCACACATACTCGTAGTAATATATTTTTATTATTACTTTTAAATGCTATAGGGTATATACGTGAACATATACATACAAACAAGCATATGCACATAGGTTGGTTCTTATTTGTGCCAAAAATTTTACTACAGTTTTTCTCATACACAGTAGCCAATGTGCTTATAAAATTTGAACAAAATTTAAAGTTTAGAGAGAACAAAGTTCAAATTTCTTAATCGCCAAACATCTTTACCAAATTTTATATGGAAAAATTTTTGCTCTAAAGCGAATAATCTAAAAAGCATCGTACAATTCATTTTTTCAAGGATCACCCTAATGTGTACATATATATGCATACATATAACTTATAACTGCATATAGCGTGAAGTTACACCAAAACCACTATAATTTCAAAACCAAATTCCTAACCAAACAGATTTGTTAGAGTATACCGTTAATACTGTTATAGTCAAAGGCCCCACTTTTCTATGGAATTTTCAATAAATTATATGTCACAAAATTAACAAGGCGCTGCAACATATACTCTCAAAAACACACATACTTTCTTACTCCAAAACACACACGTACATATACACTCAAATACACTTGAACGCATTAATTAAATATGTATATGGAAACGCATGAAATTTGTACTTGTTTTTGTATTCGTTTACAGCTAAAATCTAAGCGCATAATTAACTTAAAAACAAATGTTATAGCATACTCATTAACATTTAAAATAAACAAGCATACAAATAAATATATAAACATATTATATGTATGCAACATATTTGAATTCGAAATATATATATTTACGTATGTAACATAAACGCGGTCAGCCATTGTCTAACGAAACGGAAATAAACTGAAATAAATTATTTGTATAAATGTAAAATATTGTTGTTGTTGTTATTATTGTTATTTTTCCATTATGTGCGACAGTGCTGCTTTTGCAATAAATTAGCTAATATTGTATGTGAAGACAACGAGCAAGTGGCAAAGCAATGAGGTAGGTGGTATGCACAGTGTGCTGGGTTTGCTAAAAATTTGGATACTTTTTATGCTTTTATTAATTTTTTAAAATGTTTTAATTTATTACTTTTTTTTTAAATATATTTATTTATTTTATTATTATTCTATTTTTAAGACCTTTTTTTATTATCTATACATTTCTTTAAATAAATATGCATATATTTTTTTATTTATATGAAGTTTTTTAATTATAATTATTTATGCTTACAATCGATTTGGCTACTGAAAGTTCAAATAACGTATATAAAAACGTCTCGAGAGTCGAAAAACAAATATTCCATTTTATTTCCCGTTTAATAAGCCGCATCCTAAAATAGTGGACGTAAGTGGTTCACGAATCTTAAAACGTAACACAACCAACACACACATAACTAAGCACAACACGAAGTTCGCAATTTTTCAGTTTTCTTTAATATCGCTGATCTACCAGGCGAACATAACCGCACAGAAGGCAGCCAGATTCCACACACTCAACTTCAGCTGGATAACAACAAAAGATCGTTTCGATTACCACATTTTCGCTGAGTAAACATACTAACACAGCAACCGCTACATGCATTCCTCGATTAAAAAAGGGTTGCCATGTAAAAAATTTACATCACAAGATTACAAAGGATTAAAAAGCACCGCTTTAAGGTAACCGATAAATCAACAGGCGAACATGCAAAATAGGAGGTAAAATACAGAACAACTCAAGTATGAGCGTTAATAATAGCAGCAACAAATGATAAGCGCGACTACAGGGTGATTAGGCACAAAGCTTGGATTTACTTAAAATTTAAATAAATAAAAAATTGAGTTTAATAAATAAACAATAACATTAGGAAAGTAATATTTTGAAACAAAAAATATATCGTATTTAATCTAATTTTATTGTAAGCTACTAAAATTGGTGAAATAGAGCAAGTTTTTACATTTTTTATTTAGCACACTAAACTTAGGCGAACGCAACTGATAAAAAAAAGAGTCGTTATTGTCACAAACTTTAATTTCTTTATTAAAAAAAATTATCGAAAGTAAAAATTACATCTGGATCACCAGGCGATCATGAAATAACGTAGGGCGCTAATTAAAAGCTGCTGCATAAATTATGCCAACAACAAGCGAGCTGAGCTGCTACATTGTGATTGTAGTTTATATATTTTGCAAAATTGTCAAAAGCTTTAAGCACACAAAATATATGCAGTTGGTGGTCCCCTCTATTGTGCGGACCAACAAAATCGATCAAAATTTCACATTTTTGCAGCGCACCAAATTACCAGGCGCACATAATTGCTTAGCAGGCTGCGAGTAGCAACAGGTAAGCGCACTTTATTTTTAAGACTACGCCTTTCGTTTGCTGCTTGCCAATAACAAATATATGTTTCAATTACCAACTCGTTTCTTAGTAAAAAAACAAAACATATACAAACCGCTAAACGCATTCCTTTTGAAATGATTGCCAAGTGAAAGTATTTTCACATTAAAATTTTGCATTTATTATAAAATAGAAAATAATAGTTACTTATAATTTCATAAATTTATTTTTTAGTCGATCAAAGTACAAATATCATGTAATATTTAATAATAAAAAAATTTATGACTACAAAATTTTTTAATTGTAATATGTAATATAATATTAAAAAATAGATTAAAAATAAAAGTACTAGGCCTTCAGAATCATTAAATTGCCACCAGTCATTCAGCAGACGTCTTCCACAAGTGTTTGCAGCGATTTATAATATCCAGGGAATACTTGTGTGGTAATTTAAGACACACGTTGTTTGTTAATACTTTAGTACTATATGATTATTCTAAGAAATAAGGAAATTAAAAATGGTAATTAAAAAATTATTTAATTTCAAAAAATTAATAATAAAAGAATTTAATTAAAAAATAACAAAAAATTTTAACTTTTTTATGGCGCATTACATTAACAGGCACGCATAATGACTATAGTAAGCATCTGCTGCTGATCGTGGGCGATGCCATTCGTACTAGAGACTTCGGCAGCTGTGTGCAGCAGTCTAAGAGCAAATCTACGTTTCAACTGCCATGCTGTTCCTAAGGGTAAAAAAAAACAACGGTTAATTGTGTTTATTATTAGTATAAGAGTATAGTATTCAAAGAGGATT